ATACCAAACTCATCCACCAACCTCTGCAACTTCTCTTCAGAATCTCCCAAAAGTAGTGTCATCAGCAAAGAGCAACTGTGACAACTCCCACTTTGTGTTAGATTCTTTATCTTTTAACCTCACACCTCTTGCCAACATCCCAGCATTTACTTCTCTTACAACCCCAACTGTAAATATATTGAACAACCATAGTGACATCACACATCCTTGTCGACAGCCTACTTTTACTCGGAAATAATCTCCCTCTCTTCTACATACGTACTCCTACATAATCTCCAGGTACATACTCTAACTTGAACCTCACTATCCTCATAAAAACTCTTCACTGCTTTCAGTAAGCTACCTTCTATTCCATACATTCACAACATCTGCCACATTGCTCCCCAATCCACCCTGTCATATGCCTTTTCCAAATCCATATATGCCACAAAAACCAAAATCCTGTTCACCTATATGTTTCACTGTAAACACTTGGTCCACACACCCCCTACCCTTCCTAAAGGCTCTTTGTTCATCTGCTATTCTACACTCTGTCGTACTCTTAATTCTTTCAGTAATAACTCTTATTTATTTATTTATTTTATTTATTTATTTATTTAATGTCTTTGCAAACAGTACATTGAGATTGTGTATATACAATAGTGAGTTGCAATGCAAAGAGAGCCTCTATTATGCCTTGGCATTACCATATACTTTACCAGGTATACTCAACAGACTTATTTCCCTATAATTTTTGCATTTTTTTTGTCCCCTTTGCCTTTATACAAAGGAACTATGCATGCTTTCTGCCAATCCCTGGGTACCTCTTCTATACATTTATTAAATAAAAGCACCAACCACTCCAAAACTATTGTCATTGGGTATTTTTTTTTCTTGCCGTTGAAGATCACTTGGATGTCACAACTCTCCTCTTCTGAGTGCAGATTATTTTGTAAATTGCTCCAGCCATGGTATTGTGATTGTTTTCTTATTGCTTGTATGTTTTAAGCCATTATCAGGCAATGATCAAGAGCTGTATAGATATACAGTGGACCCTCAGTTTTCGTGTTTAACCTGTTTCAGAGAGATGGGCAAAAACGGAAAGTGGCAAAACACTGAAACCATTTCCCCCATAAGAAATAATGTAAATCCAATTAATCCGTTCCAGACACCCAGAAGTATTAAAAAAAAATTTTTTTTTTTACCTTAAAGATAGATTTACATGCACAAAAGAATGAACATTCAACATGACACTTACTTTTATTGAAGGATGTTGTTGGTGGATGGAAGACAGGGAGGAGGGGAGAGGGAAGAGATGATATTCTTTGGAAGGGGAAATCCCCCTCCATAAGGACTCTAAGTACCAAGTCCTTATCCAGGGTCACTTCCTTTCTTTGTTTTTTATGCCACAAATCTTTCCATCCTGCTCCACATTGCACAGATCTCTATTACTTTCATCCTCTACCACCATCACAACCACTACCACCATCACTACCACCCTCTATGACCATCACTACCACCCTCTACCACCATCACAACCACCATCACAACTACCACCTCAAACCACCATCACAACCTACTACCACAACCCTACCACCATCACTACCACCTTCTACCACCATCACTACCACCCTCTACCACCATCACTACCACCCTCTACCACCATCACTACCACCCTTTACCACCATCACTACTACCCTCTACCACCATCACAACCACTACCACACTCTACCACCATCACTACCACACTCTACCACCATCACTACCACCCTCTACCACCATCACTACCACCCTCTACCACCATCACTACCACCCTTACCACCATCACTACTACCCTCTACCACCATCACAACCACTACCACCCTCTACCACCATCACAACCACTACCACCCTCTACCACCATCACTACCACCCTCTACCACCACCACTTTCGTATTTTTCTACAAACTTCTTGAATTCTGCCGTGTTTCCTACATTCTTTACCAAAGGGCTGGCACTAGAAGCTTTCTTTGGGCTCATGGTGGCTTATTTAGCACTCATACACAATAAACAAGTGCCAAAACAATGGATTATTACAGAATGTTTCGTATGACCTCGCAGGATGTTCTCTCACCGAGAAACAACACGACACTGCCTGAGAATGCATGTGAGAGGCGGCTTTGTGTGCACTCTGGGTACTGGACAGGTTCCGTACCATCGACGATAATGGAGGATATCGACGAAAACAGAACCAATATTTTGATGTAAAAAGTTGGCAAAAACGGAAATCGGCAATAACGGAGATTGGCGAAAAGAGAGGGTCCACTGTGTATGAATATGTGTTTGTGCATACAGTGAGAGGCGATTATAATGCCTGGAACAAGGGGCTAGTAACACCTTTTTTATAAATTACTAAATGTAAAAAGAAGAAAAACTTTATAAATTATGGCTAAAGTGATTCTTCTCTTTTGGGCCACTTATCTCGGTGTGAGATGACCGTTGTGTTAAAAAAATATGTGCATGTAGATTATATAAAGAGGTAAATCTCACATGGCCAGAAAATCAGAGTAGAAATGATGTGATTATTTGTGTCAATCAGAGAGAATATTCAGTTGGAGAAATCTCTTGGTTATACCAAAAGTAAACATATTCTTTCTACTCCATGTTTTACAGTTCTTTTTTTTTTATTTTTGTGGGCTTTTCCTCCTATTTTTTTATCAGTGATTATGACATAACAAAATCCTAAGATTATTAGTGTGTGAACTATACAACAGAGGTGACTACCCAGGGTCCCTAACCCACTATGAGCGAGGAGTGGTCAATACTGGTGGCTCCGAGGAACATAATGCAGCATGTAAAGCTGGTATTGCTCGCACGGCAATACGCTGTGGCGACATCAGGCGAGGCGTCAACATTGCAGCAGAGATGAACAACCGTATGCTTAAGAGGGAATGTGCAGAGATATTAGAGAGTAAAAAGGTGAGATATGAGGATATGGTGGCAAGGCTTAACACTGCCAACTATACACTGTATAAATTGTTGTGATTTTTATATTATGTCTTGCCAGTGACAACTTCACTTTAGTCATGTCTTGTCACTGACATCATTTCAGTCATGTCTTGTCAATCATGTCACTGACAATGTCATTTGGACCATGTGTAGTTGTTTGTGTTTCTTGGTAGTTTATATGGTGAATATTTCTCATAGTTATTTTGAAGACTAACCGCCATGCACTTGACACTTGACAGCAATATTCGGAGGCTGCCGTGCTCTACGAGAGTGGTAATTTCAATGAAAAAGCTGCAGCACTGTACATTCGTCTTAAAAATTGGAATAAGGTGGGACAGCTCCTGGTCAATATTAATTCTCCCAAGATGCATCTCCAGGTGAGTACACATTCTGCACATTGTTTTCATCCCTTCAAGGGGAAGCCCTTGATGTTAGTGAAGGGCTCTTGATCCAAGGAAATGGGTCACTCTGCTCTTCATTGGTTCTAACCTGATTATACAGTACTATCATTCCTCAGGCATTTTATGACCCTTATGGTTATAGTCTTTCAGCATGAATAAAATAATGATATTTTTATCTATAATTTTTCAATGACACATTAATAGATAGATGATTTCTGAAGATTTGTTGAAAGAGGTATTTAAGTATTTTATATATAGTTAAAATGTGTTAGTAATGAATACTGTGTATGTTTATGCAGCACATTCTTGGTCACAGTGTTACCTCATATAATATATTTTCTGGGTGAGTAATATGTTTAACAAGCAAGATGTTAGTAAGTAAGTAAGTAAGCAAGTTTATTCAGATATACACAAATACAGTTACATAGATTATCATACATAGCAGCATATGTGTAGAGAACCTGGATAACCCAAAAAAGTCAGACAGAGTGACTTATTTCCATTGGGGTCCTTTTACCTTATTATTATAATATAAAGGTTATAATATCTTATTATTATTCTATAATGAAGATAACATCTTATTATTATACTAAAAATACTATCTACTACACGAGGGATCATTAAGACTATCTACAATACGAGGGTCATTACTAGGAGTAAGGTAAAATTAAACGTGTGTTAACTGGTTCATGCTATGACTGGCTTTGACATATGCAGGCAGTCTGTTCCATTCCTTTATTGCTGTACAATAAAAGGCATTTGAAGCCTGGCCACTGAGTGTGGGTACTACAAAGTTGTGCTCTCTCCCCCTAGTACTATGATTGCTTTGGCTCCCAGCCTTGACAAAATTGACAGCAGGATATTCTGGACACTGTTTGTGAGCAATTTTATAAACACGATTTAGCTTCAGTTGTTTTACTCTGTCTTCAACATTCAGCATATCCAACTGCTGTAATTCATTCTGGCCTACATGCTCTCTTGGACCCAGGCCCAGGATGAATCTTACAACTTTGTTCTGGGTGATTTGCAGTTTATCTTTCAGTTTTTTGTCAAGGCAGAGTACCATGAAGAGCAAGCGTAATCCACATGACATTGTATAAGGGCTAGACATAGGGTCCTGCGAGCCTCAGTAGGTAGACACTGTGCTTGTCTATACAGGAACTTCAGTCTGGCATTCGCTTTCTTTACTACACTGTTCCCTATCAATTCTCCTGACATGCATGGGTCAAAGGGGATTCCCAGATATTTTACTGATGAAACCAAATTGATGGGCTCCCCATTACACTGGACATTAAAATTATTTACCCTTCTCAGTTTATGGTTCATGCCAAAGAAAATGACTTCAGTTTTCCCGAGGTGTAATGATAGTTTGTTGTTTACTGACCATTTGCTGCAGGACTCCAGTTCCAGTGTTAATACATTAGCTTTATCTTGTGGGTCTTTACCTGACACTAACAGAGCACTGTCATCTGCATACAGTAGGAGTTTGCACTTGACACTTATAGGCATGTCATTGACATAGCATAAGAATAATAAGGGACCCAGAATACTACCTTGGGGAACTCCACATGCTATCGGCAGGGGTTCTGATTCCATTTTGTTTATTTTGACAATTTGTCTCCTGTTGCTAAGGTAGGACTTAAACCAGTCTACAGAACCTATACCGATAGCTTGAAGTTTCTTACATAATATATTGTGGTTGACAGTATCGAAGGTCTTTTGCAAGTCTAAGGTCACCATACCTATGAGGTTCCCCATTGACATTTCAGTTCTCAGGTAATCCATCAGATTAATTAGGGAGGTGTCGGTTGAGTAAGATCTTCTAAAGCCCGATTGGTAGCTATGGAGAATGTTGTTGTCATTAAGGTACTTAACCCTTTCAGGGTCCGTCCCGTAGATCTACGGCTTTACGTTCAGGGTCCAAACCGTAGATCTACGCCATGAGCTCAGCTCACTCTGATAAACTGTGAGTGGTACATTTGGGCCTAGATATGAGAGAATACATCTATGTGGTATGTGTGCACCACATAAAACAGATCCTGCAGCACACTGTGTATAATGAGAGAAAAAAAATGAAATCATGATTTTTCGATTAAAACAGCAACTTTGCAGTGTTTTTTCGTATGTTTTTTATAGTTGTATTTGCGATTTCTTGGTCTCATTTGATAGAATGGACGACATATTACAGAAATAGAGATGATTTTGATTGGTTTTAGCACTGGAAATGGCTTGAAACTGAGCTCAAAGTAGCAGAAATGTTAAATTTTTGCCGATATTCAAGAGTAAACAAACGACCTCACACGTCTAATACACGCCAGCTGGTGGGTCTAATATACATTCACAAATATGGTGATGATATTTATACAATTATTACAGTATTGCATAACAGTAAATCTTCTATTTTTTGGTGTGAATAAAAATTCATTATGTGAATAAAAAATCAAAATGGAATTTATTTGTAAAGCCTCAAAACATAACTAATGAACAGAGGAAATGTTAGTTTAGTGCCAGGAATGCCTACATTGTTCATTCTGGACCCTATTTTGAAATTGGAATATTTTGAACTTTGTGTTAAATTGGCCAAATTAACAATTTCCGATCACTTTATTTTGTAGTTGAAACAGTTGACTTGGCGATTTCTTGTGCTCAATCGATAGAATAGAAGTAATACTAGTGAAATAGCTAAGAATTTGGTTGATTGGAATAATGTAATTGGCCTAAAATGGGAGTCAAAGTCGGCAAAATCGCCGATTCGTAAATATCGCTGACACATCAAAATTCGCAAGAGCATAATTTCGTCAATTTTCCACCAAATTTCGTACTTTTTGTTTTATTACCTTCACAAAAAGATTCTCTACGATTTCATAAGAAAAAATAACAAATTTTTTTTTTGAAAATTCTTGGACACTGGTGAGTGACTCCAGATTTGGGCCTTGGACCCTGAAACGGTTAACTACTTGACAGTACACCGCTCTCTAGAATTTTGGATATTATACTGAGTATACTAACAGGCCTATAGTTGCTTACATCAGACCTACTATTTTTCTTGAAGATAGGAGTAACTCTGGTCTCCTTGAACCCCCCCGGTACGGTATTAGTGGTGATTGACAGATTTATTATGTGAGCAATAGGGATTGACAGTTCAGAAGCACCATCTTTTAGGAACTTAAGACGGGATGTTATCCGGGCCAGTGCTCTTAGTTGGGTTTAACCTGCTTAGTTCATTTTGAATAAAGTCATGAGATACACTTACTAGTTGACAACTGTTTGGGGTTATAGAACTCTTTTGTAAATTATGTGGCTAGAAACTTGTAGATAAAAGCTGAGTTAGTGAACACATTTCTTTGGTGGTTAGCAATTGATGTGTTAAAAAATTATAGTTTACAATACATACACAAATAACCCGCACATAAAAGAGAGAAGCTTACGACGACGTTTCGGTCCGACTTGGACCATTGACAAAGTCACACCGAAACGTCGCCGTAAGCTTCTCTCTTTTATGTGCGGGTTATTTGTGCCTTTTTTGTTATTTACAATACATACTGAAACATGTTTAAGATTCTTGCTTACTTTTTTTTCAGTATGCTAAAGCTAAGGAAGCAGAGGGTCAGTACCGGGAGGCAGCAACTTACTATGAGTCAGCAAGAGACTATGAGTCTGTGATACGTCTCCTTTTACATCATTTACACTCCCCGGAAGAAGCTGTTAGAATTGTTAGAGAGACCAAGAGTGTTGAAGGAGCAAAAATGGTTGCTAAGTAAGATTACTGTATTTGCAGAAGATTTCTGAAGTTTGGAATTCCATAACCCTTTTAAAAAATAGTATTCATTTTAAATATTTCATTGTGTGTATTAAAAATACAGTAATGTAGTACTGTAGTGCTTATTCTGTAAGTTGAAACATAAAACTTTTTGGAGAGCTAGCAGGTGTTACAAGTTAATGCTGGCACTTGTTGGACTTTATCCTCTTAATATACACAACCTGCACATAGCACAATAAAACTTATGACAATGTTTTGGTCTGACTTGGATAATTAACAAGTCATCATAAGTGTCATTCCCCTATGTGCGGGTTATTTGTGTATTGTTCCACTCACGGTACTGTGCCTTTTTAATCTTTCTTGGCCTATTGAACTAGGCTGATCTTGTATTAAGACACTGCTGGACACCCATTGATGGCAGTTTCAAAATAGAGGCAGATTTAATTTGAGTATAATTACATTTTTTGTCTTGTAACTTGCAGATTCTTCCAGAAGTTAAATGACTACAACTCAGCAATTCAGTTTTTAGTTCTCTCCAAGTGTACCGACGAAGCATTTCAGTTGGCTCGCACTCATGGCAAGATGGAACTGTACGCTGACATTCTTGGCTCAGATGCCACACCTGAAGATTATAAGAGTGTTGCGCTCCACTTTGAAAATGAGAGAAATCACTTCCTCTCAGGGAAATTCTATTATTTAGCTGGAATTTATCCTAAAGTAAGTGCTGTAATATGTTACTATCACTTTATATCCCCTTCTTATTGAAATACCACCTTAGAACTCCCACATTAATCACACACTCACAGTGTGTTAGCAGGTTGGTAGACAGCAACCACCCAGGGAGGTACTACCCTCCTGTGTTAGTAGGATGGTAGACAGCAACCACCCAGGGAGGTACTACCCTCCTGTGTTAGGATGGTAGACAGCAACCACCCAGGGAGGTACTACCCTCTTGTGTTAGGATGGTAGGCAGCAACCACCCAGGGAGGTACTACCATCCTGTGTTAGTAGGATGGTAGACTGCAACCTCCCAGGGAAGTACTACCCTCCTGTGTTAGGATGGTAGGCAGCAACCACCCAGGGAGGTACTACCATCCTGTGTTAGTAGGATGGTACACAGTAACCACCTAGGGAGGTACTACCATCCTGTATTAGTAGGGTGATAGACAGCAGCCCTCTACTGATGTCCTTTTCAGCAGGGTTTCTGTCTTCATATGGGTTATTGAGCAGAAAACTCAGTATTTAACTACTATCAAATAGAGATTTTTCTATGGGTGTATATAAGTACACAGTGAAGACATAAAATATGGATTGATTAGAATGAAAAATGCAATAATTTAGTTATCTTAGAGATGTGATTCTAAACATTACCTTTGAATTAAATGCAGAGAAATTGAAATTAAAATCTACAGGGGATTTTTATTTTTACCATGCTGGCCATCTGCCACTGAGATGGTGACTCAGAAAAGAAGAAACCCAAGGTTTTCTTCTTTTTTACATTTAGTAATTTATACAGAAGGAGTTAGGAAAATGTATATCAACTTGTAACAAGTTGTTGTACATATGTTGCTTTGTTTTAGACTAATAATAAAAATGAAGCATATAATTTGTTGCAGGCAGTGAAGCATTTGATGAGAGCATCACAAGGCTCTGGTGCTGAAGACTCAGAGAGTATACAGTTGGCTATTGATGTTGTTGCAGCAGCAAGTGACGAGGGGTTGACGCGCCAGCTTATTGACTTCTTGATGGGTGAACTGGACGGTATTCCAAAAGTAAGAATATCGTTCACTTTAAGCTCATTGCTAAAGATTTTTCAGATTAGGTTAGATAATAATAATATGCTGCTCACAAAGTAGACAAATATTGAGTTATATATCAGTAGGGACAATCCTGTGTGGACCATTTATTGGAAAAATTATGACTAAGGAAATCGTAATGACACAGTTGCAACAAATCATGGAACAGACTTCTTTGCAATCATGTTATGAGTCCCTAAGTCATGATGTTGGCTTTGAAGGGATTTGAGCTAGAGTATGACACAGCCACGCTGGTGTGGGATTTGTCTGTAAATATTTGTAAATATTTGTAGTCACAGTGGTGGCCCATGCTAACCTTCCTGTAGTGTATAGAAATATACCTAGTTGTATGACTTATTAAAGCTACTGGTACAGTTGTTAATGCACTGGCCTGTGAGTTTTAGCACTTACTTGCCATGGTTCAAGTCCCACCCGGTCCATGATTTGCAAGAAGTGATGTAAGCTTGATACTTTGTCTGTTAATTGTGAGATAAACACACTGAGTAGCTGTAATACCCAGTTTATGATAGAAATACAGTAGAGCACCAGCACTTTGACCTGTTTTTGATGACACTTTTGTCAGCTACTGATCACATATGATGACACAAGTGTCAGCTATTGATCACTTGTGATGACACAAGTGTCAGCTACTGATCACTTGTGATGACACAAGTGTAAGCTACTGATCACTTGTGATGACACAAGTGTCAGCTACTGATCACTTGTGATGACACAAGTGTCAGCTACTGATAACATGTGATGACACAAATGTCAGCTGCTGATCACTTGTGATGACACAAGTGTCATCTGCTGATCACTTGTGATGACACAAGTGTCAGCTACTGATCACAAGTGATGACACTAGTGTCAGCTGCTGATCACTGATACATAGTAATTGGAAGAGTATCATGCTACACTACAAGTACTCTATACAAAACAGTACTAGAGTAATATATACAGCCTCTCCTCACTTAACAACAGAGTTCTGTTCCTAAGACCGAGGCGTTAAATGAATTCTTCATTAAGTGAGGAGCATACTATAATGGTAGTGAGTGTGTGTCAGCCATTTTTTATGTTGTTTTAATGTCGCCTTTGAACCATTTATAACATTTCTGGTATATTTTGAAATGTTTATACAGTAGTGTATTGTATATTGAAATAAGCAGAATAGAGGAAGTCAGCTCTGATATACATTATTTAGGTATGAATACTGGTCAGAGAGCCCGTCGTAATTCTGAGGCTTCGGTAAAGGAGTACGTTGTTAAGTGAGGATAGGCTGTAGTTGATTTAATAAGTAATCATGTCATCCACATTTCAAAAGTATAATATACAAAGTACAGTGGACCCCCGCTTAACGATCACCTCCCAATGCGTCCAATTATGTAAGTGTATTTATGTAAGTGCGTTTGTACGTGTATGTTTGGGGGTCTGAAATGGACTAATCTACTTCACAATATTCCTTATGGGAACAAATTCGGTCAGTACTGGCACCTGAACATACTTCTGGAATGAAAAAATATCGTTAACCGGGGGTCCACTGTATTGTTAGTGTAACAGCACGCAGATTGAGGTAGGTTAGGTTAGGTATGACTTGTCAGTATTACGAACACAGGTATAGTATGGCCTGCGACCTGGTCGTAATGGGTTTTAAAGTGGAGCAAATGAACTCCTTCACCAGATATAATATGCCAAATATATACAAGTATGTACATTATGTACAGAGGTTGAATAGTAAGTGTACCACATGGTGAAAAAAGATGGTAAAAGCAGAAGCCAGAGAGAGAGTACACCGTGCTCAACCAGCAGCTCAGGCAAGTCTGTCAATTTGCTTGCCACAAGTGAACCATGTTACTTCAGCTTTGGCGGGCTTGCCTGTGATTGGCCAATGAACCAAGGTACTGATTTAATGACTGTTACCCTATGATCGTCAAACCCTTAGCACCTGGTTCACTGGTTGGGAGACAGCCTATATGGAAGTGTGACATATGACAGTGATGACCTGTACTTAACAGTGGTGACCTGTACTTAACTCAGTGGTACCTGTACTTAACTCTGTGAAGAAGTGTTTTGTGTGCTATCCGTGGACTGAACCAAGATGCCCTCCGTCGAGCAACTTTACCAGCAGCTTAAGGAAGAATTGAGAGTAGCAAAGATGGAGATACGGCGATTGACTGAGGAAAACAAGAGGATTCGTAGTAGTCCTCCTGTTTTGAGTCCTCAGGTCAAGAAGGGAACGTGGTCAGTGGCTGGACAACATGGAACGAAGTTGACGATCAAGAAGAATGGAAAGACAGAAACGATGAAGAAAGAGACTGCTGTGGAAACATCTAATGCATTCTCCGTGCTACCCGACGAATGTGAGTCGACTACTGGGAACGTCACGACGAACGACGCCATTGAAGGTAAGAATGTTGTTGTTGGGGATAGCCAGGTTAGATACATGGATAGGGCATTCTGCTTGAAGGACAGGAGTAGGAGACAGAGGGTTTGCTTTCCTGGGGCTGGGATGGAGGACATTGTTAGCCGGCTTGACAACATCATGAACGGTAATGGGATCAACCCTATTATTTGCCTCTGCTGGAGGCAATGATGTAGGCAAGCGTAGAAGTGAGGATTTAGTTAGAAAGTTCAGGACAGCTATAGACATAATTAGGAAGAAGGGGGGGCGCCCTGTTATATGTGGCATTTTGCCAAGAAGAGGTGTTGGTAATGAATGGTTGTCCAGAGCAATTGGTATTAATTGTTGGCTGGATAAACACTAAGGATAATGCAGTACCATTCATTGACATCTGGGACAACTTCTATGGCCGAAAATGACATGTATGCCAGGGATGGGGTTCACTTATCCAGGGCAGGTGTGGGTTTTCTTGCTAGCTCAGTTGAGGGGGTTGTTAGGACTTTAAACTAGGATTAGTTAGAGGTATGGGTTTAGAAATGATAAATAATGAGTATGGATATATTGACTTATGCTCTGATATTAAGAATCTTAATAGTAACTGTCATGGAGTTACTCTGGGTAATGATAATTTCAGAAATTGTGTAAAAACAAAGATGAATTGGAAAAATGTGCACAAGAAAAAACATATAATGGTATTTTATGCTAACAGTCGAAGTGCAAGAAATAAAATTAATGAACTACGTTTGGTAGCATGTGCTGGGAACTTTGATATCACTGCATTAACTGAAACGTGATATGATTTAAAGAGTCGGGATATGATTGCTGAGTGTAATATTCAAGGGTTTAAGTTGTTCCGTGTGGATAGATGTAATGGGAAGGGGGGAGGAGTTGCATTATATGTTCAAGAAAATATTAATTGTTGCATGAAAACAGGTATAAAAATAGATGGAACAGTAACAGAATCTGTTTGGGTAGAGTTTGTAGAGGGTCAAGAAAAACTAATTCTAGGTGTAATATACCGACCTCCTGGCTTGGATCACGATAGAGGGAGACTTCTTTGGGATGAAATTGTTAGGGCTTCTAGACACAATAACATAGTCATAGTAGGGGACTTTAATTTTAGTCAAATTGACTGGAATTCTTTGACAGGTAATCTAGAGTCCAGTGACTTTATGGAAACAGTTCAGGACTGTTTTCTGAAGCAGTGCATAACAGAGCCTACAAGGGGTAATAATTTGCTAGACCTAGTCTTGTCAAATAAGGAAACACTCGTAAATAATTTGGAGATCACTGAAGAGCTTGGCGCAAGTGATCACAAATCCATCACTTTTAGCATTAACTGGGAATGCAAGAATAATGATAATACAGTAAAAATCCCTGATTTTTGTTCTGCCGATTATAATGGACTTAGGGAACACCTGTCTAATCTTGATTGGGGTTATCTAGCTAATGATTTTATTGACGATGATCATACTTATGATTATGAAGGGATCTGCTTTTATGATAATAATGTACACCGTGCCCAGAGTATATACATTCCCCAGAGAGAAATTAGGTCTAATAATAACGATCCCAAATGGGTTAACAGGAGGCTAAAGCATCTATTAGGGGAGAAAAGGGAAATTTATAGGCACATCAGAAGAGGAGAGGTTAACCTTACTGACCAATATGTTCAGCTTAACCCTTTGACTGTCGCGGCCATATATATACGTCTTACGAGGTACCGTGTTTGACGTATATATACTCATAAATTCTAGCGGCTTCAAATCAAGCAGGAGAAAGCTGGTAGGCCCACATGTGAGAGAATGGGTCTGTGTGGTCAGTGTGCACCATATAAAAAAAATCCTGGAGCACGCAGTGCATAATGAGAAAAAAAAAACGACCGTTTTTTTTAATTAAAATGCCGACTTTGTGGTCTATTTTCGTATAGTATTTACGGATGTATTCTCGTTTTCTTGGTCTCATTTGATAGAATGGAAAACATATTATAGAAATAGAGGTGATTTTGATTGATTTTACTATAAAAAGAACCTGGAAAAGGAGCTCAAAGTAGGGGAAATGTTTGATTTTTGCGAATGTTCAAAAGTAAACAAATGATGTCATTGTCCAATAAATGTCCAACTAGCCATTCTAATATGTAGTCAAGAATAGGTTGATGTTATTTATACAATTATTACAGTATTGCAGTAGTCTGCATAATAGTAAGTCTTCTATTTTTTGTTTGAATAAAAATTCAAAATAGAAAGCAAGAGTAATATCAGAGGGGCCTGGAGACATGACTGATGAACAAAGAAAATGTTATTTTAGAGCCAGGAATGTCTGCATTGTTTATTCTGGACCTTATTTTGAAATTGTCGTATTTTTTAATTTTCGTGAAATTGGCCAAATTGCAAATTTCTGACCACATTATTGGGTAGTTGAAATCGGTAAATGGGCAGTTTCTTGTACTCAATCGATAGAAAAAATGGAGTTCTAAAGTAATAGCTATGAGTTTGGTCGACTGGAACAGTGGAATTAGCCGAAAATAGGGCTCAAAGTGGGCAAAATCGCCGATTTGTAAATATCGCCGAGGTCGCTAACTTCGCAAGAGCATAATTCTGTCAGTTTTCCATCAAATTTCGTTTTTTTGGTGTCATTACAATCGGGAAAAGATTCTCTATCATTTCATAAGATTTTTTTTTTTTTTTTTTTTTTTTTTTTTTTTTTTTTTTTTTTTTTTTTTTTTTTTTTTTTTTTTTTTTGAAATTTTGCGACACCAGGAGACACCTCAGGATTGAGGATTGCGACAGTCAAGGGGTTAAAAGAGAAGTAAAAAAGGGGCTTAGAAAGGCTAAACGTGACTATGAAATTAGAGTTGCTAATGAATCAAAGACTAATCCAAAGGGGTTCTTTCAAGTGTATAGGACGAAGGTGAAGGAAAAAGTAGGACCTCTGAAAATTGGGAATGGACAGCTGACGGATAATGAACTGGAAATGTGTTCCTTATTTAATGACTATTTTTTGTCAGTTTTTACACAGGAAGATGTAAATGAGATTCCAGTAATTAACAATTATTTAGTTCCTGATGAATTTAAATTAACTAATATTACTGTCACGAGGGACATGGTTATTAAACAGATAGACAAACTGAAGCAAAATAAGTCCCCGGGACCCGATGAGCTGTTTTCCAGGGTACTTAAAGAATGCAAGACGGAGCTTAGTCAGCCATTAACAAGTGTGTTTAATGCATCCATCCTTACCGGTGTTGTGCCAGAGTTGTGGAAGATGGCTAATGTGGTTCCTATATTCAAATCAGGGGATAAGTCCACTCCTTCAAATTACCGTCCAATAAGCCTGACATCTTTAGTGGGCAAGTTATTAGAATCAATTATAGCTGACATTATCAGAAGTCACCTTGAAGAGCATAACTTGATAAATGAATCTCAGCATGGATTCACGAGAGGTCATTCCTGCCTGACAAGCTTACTGACGTTCTTCAGTAGAACATTTGAGGCAGTTGACAGTGATAAGGAATATGATATTGTTTATTTGGATTTTAGTAAAGCCTTCGATAGAGTACCTCACATGAGACTCTTAAGAAAAGTGGCAGCTCATGGTATAGGAGGTAAAGTTATAGCATGGATAGAGGCATGGCTTACCAATAGAAAGCAGAGAGTTACCATTAATGGAGTGAAATCTGAATGGGGATTAGTCACTAGTAACAGTCCACAAGGATCAGTTTTAGGCCCTCTCTTGTTCATAATTTACATTAATGACCTTGATAAGGGATTACGAGTGATATGAGTAAGTTTGCTGATGATACAAAGATAGGCCGTATAATTCACTCGGAGGAGGATATCAATGAACTCCAGGATGATTTGGACAAATTAATGTCTTGGTCTGAAAAATGGCAGATGAAGTTCAATGTGGATAAGTGTAAGGTACTTGCCCTTGGTAATGAAAATAACCCTTGAAGCTATAATCTAGGTGAAGTAGAGCTTGATCATACAGAATGTGAAAAGGACTTGGGAGTCATGGTAAGCAGAAATCTAAAGCCAAGACAGCAGTGCCTTAGTGTGTGCAACAAGGCCAACAGATTACTTGGATTTGTCTCTAGAAGTATAAGTAACAGAAGTCCAAAAGTTATTTTACAGCCCTATACATCACTAGTGAGGCCTCATTTAGATTATGCTGCTCAGTTTTGGTCCCCTTACTACAGGATGGATATAGACTCATTAGAGAACATACAGAGAAGAATGACTAAAATGATTTACTGTGTAAGGAACCTCCCGTATGAAGATAGACTTAAAGCCTTAAATCTCCACTCTCTGGAGAGGCGTAGAATGAGGGGAGATATCATTGAAGTGTATAAGTGGATGACGGGCATAAACAAGGGAGATATTAATAAAGTACTGAGGGTGTCGAACCAGGTAAGAACCAGAAATAATGGATTTAAGTTGGATAAATTTAGATTTAGAAAGGACATAGGTAAGTACTGGTTTTCTAACAGAGTTGTAGATGCATGGAACAGTCTTCCCAGTGGGGCAATAGAGGCTAGGACCTTGGGTAGCTTTAAGAAGAGACTGGACAAATATATGAGTGGGAGGGGCTGGGTTTGATTGGTGTCATTGGGTACGGGAGTTATTTCTTGAGTAGCTTAAGGTAGAGGTCATTTTGATAAGAACCTGCCTTGCATGGGCGAGTAGGCCTTCTGCAGTGTTCCTCCATTCTTATGTTCTTATGTTCTTAAATGTAACATACTCTTAGCATGCCACATTCAGGAAACAGGACAAGTGCTTCCTGACGTGGGTCTTAGTTATGTGATGACCCGCCACTGGAGGTTTTGGTCATCTGACTGAGGCCTTCCAATGGCTTACCCATCCACTGCTTTCAAATAGTAATTTGACTTTATGGTGTAGTTTACATATATATATACACTCTGAAAATGAGTGTCATATCCTTGGTTGCAGTTCTCAATATTTTATTTGGAATTTCTGTATATTCTTAACCCGTAAACAGTCCAAGCAGATCTACGTTCACATGTGTAGTGCTACAAAAGTAGATCTTAGTTTTTTTACATATTTTCAAATATAGTGGACCCCCGGTTAACGATATTTTTTCACTCCAGAAGTATGTTCAGGTGCCAGTACTGACCGAATTTGTTCCCATAAGAAATATTGTGAATTAGATCAGTCCATTTTAGACCCCCAAACATACACGTACAAACGCACTTACATAAATACACTTACATAATTGGTCACATTCAGAGGTAATCGTTATGTGGGGGTCCACTGTATAACAAAAAAAAGGTAGATCAAAGTTTTTTTACACATTTTCAAATGTAGAAAAACAAAAAGAAGATCTACTTTTTTTACACACTTTCAAATGTTGAAAAAACGTATATATACGTTTGGACCGTTTATGGGTTAAAGTACATTAAACAGGCTCTTTTTTGTTTTTAAATTTCCCTATTGTTTATGTGATTATAATTATTATAATCATGAAGGAGCGCTAAACCCATAGGATTATACAGCGCATGGGGGAGGGGATGGAAGGTTTTCAGGCTCAATTCAGGGAACTGGAGCACAGATCCAATTCCCTAAATCAAGAGCCCCTCACCAGGGGTATTGTTAGTGTGAGCAAGGTAACATTTATGAAGGGATTTAGGAAGCTTGTTAGCCGGACTTAGGTCCTGAGTGTCTTCACACTGCAGTAGTTGTGAGGATTTGACACTTCTGAGGCTCATTTGAATTGTGATAATTATACACTTGTGAGAAGACAGTTACTGCATGAATGATGGTGAATGTTTCCTTGTTTTGTTTACATTGCATAGTTTATAGGGTGGCAACCCCCTCCCTTCTAAGTAAAAGTGGATAATTTAATAGAAAAATAGACACAAATGCAATATAATGTGATGCTTTATTGACTATGTTTAATCCACACAGTAGACTTCATTAAGTCACAAATACATCTACCAGAGCAGAGTGTATATGTAGGGGGAGTATATGCTATGTCTGTGTTCCATACACAACTATATAAGAAGTATATGCTATGTCTGTGTTCCATACACAACTATATAAGAAGTATATGCTATGTCTGTGTTCCATACACAACTATATAAGAAGTATATGCTATGTCTGTGTTCCATACACAACTATATAAGAAGTATATGCTATGTCTGTGTTCCATACACAACTATATAAGAAGTATATGCTATGTCTGTGTCCCATACACAACCATCTTAATACAACCTCTTCATCTTTATTCAGCATAATAGTTGTTTCAAGTAAAGTTAATTATTTACATTCAATGTTATGGTCTTCTCTAGTGTAATTACATATTTACTGATGTGTGTGGCCTTCTTGGGGTCTTTTTTGTGCGATTACTTTAACTGGTATTTGTGGCTTTGTAGTACATAACTTTTTGAGAAAAGTGCTGAATAAGCTTGTTGGTCAGTGGTGGCTGCTGACTCATATAACTTCTGTTTCTTACTCAGCAGTAGCACTAAACTTACTGTCTCTCTCTTTCTAAGTGCAGAAAAGAGTCATGATCCTCCTTCCCTGTAATTTCAGTCATTATTAAATTTTCATAAGGATAAATGTTAATTAATTTGTTTTGGCTTTGCAGGATGCAAAGTATTTGTTCCGTCTGTACATGGCTAAGAGTCAATATCGTGAGGCAGCCAAAACTGCAATTATTATTGCACGAGAGGAACAAAACTCAGGTATGGAGACTTCACACTAGACCAGCGGTCCCCAACCTGTGGGGATGTGGCCCTTACATCAAATTATGAATTCACTTTTATGTAGGTTCCACACTGGACAGTGTAAATGGAATAAATGGAAAACAGGAATTAATAAAGGGGGTGTAATTAGTGTGCTAAAAATATCTAGCATAAACAGGACTCACAGCAATGGTTTTAAATTGGAAAAATTCAGATTTAGGAAGAATGTAGGAAAGTACTGGTTTGGTAATAGAGTTGCAGATGAGTGGAACAAACTCCCGAGTACCGTCATAGAAGCTAAGACATTGTGTAGTTTTAAAAATAGGTTGGATAAATACATGAGTGGGTGTCGGTGGGTGTGAGTTGGACCTGACTAGCTTGTGCTACTAGGGCAGATGCCGTGCTCCTTCCTTTAGTGAATGTGACTGACCTGACTAGGTTAGGACATTGGCTTAAGCTGGTGGGAGAATTGGACCTGCCTTGCATGGGCCAAGGGGCTTGCAGCAGTGTTCCTTCTTTCTTATGTTCTTATGTTATTATTATTATTATTATTATTCATAAAAAATACAAAATATGATCCTCTTTTAAATTTGGCTTTTCAAATTGGCTCTTTCATGCTAAAAGTTTGGAGGACTACTACACTAGGCTGTACAGACAACATTAACTCTGTGATAAATGAAACTATAAGAAGTGAGAGGCGGGGATATTTTCAGCTTTGAACTGTAGTGGAAATATAAACACATATGCAGTATAATGTGATCCTTTATTTACAACGTTTCACCCACACAGTGAGCTTTTTCAAGTCACACACATTTATATTTCCACTGTGTCGGTATTTGATACCATTTATTTCCACTTTGAACTGTAGTGTTGGCATCCCTCTGCCAAGACAGTGATGGAGTGTATGATGGTGAAAGTGTTTTTTTTTTTTTTTTTTTTTTGGGGGGGGGGTCTCCGTATCTTTTGTGGAAGATAGCCGGTGTGTTAAAAAAATAAATAACAAGTAACTAGTGTGGTGTAAATATTATGCAAAGAATTTGTAGTGTGGAAATTAGGAGAAAGTGTGGAGATACCAAAAGTATTAGTTAAAGGGCTGAAGAGGGGTTACTGAGGTGGTTTGGTCATTTAGAGAGGATGGAACAAAGTAGAATGACTTGGAGAGCATACAGATCTGTAGTGGAAGGAAGGCGGGGTAGGAGTCGTCCTAGGAATGGTTGGAGGGAAAGGGTAAAGGAGGTTTTTTTGTGTGCATGGGGCTTGGACTTCCAGCAAGCATGCAGGAGTGTGGAGTGAATGGAGACAAATGGTTTTTGGGACCTGACAAGCTATTGGAGTGTGAGCAGGGTAATATATTGTGAAAGGATTCAGGGAAACCGGTTAGCTGGACTTGAGTCCTGGAGATAGGAAGTACAATGCCTGCACTTTAAAGGTGGGGTTCAGAATATTGGCTGTTTAGAGTGACATCTAAACTGTTGTATCTGAGTGCCTCTGCAAAGACAGTGATTATTTATGAATGACAGTGAAAGTGTTGAATGATGGTAAAAGTTTTTTCTTCTTTTTTTTTTTGGGTCACTCTGCCTCGGAGGGAAACAGCCAACATGTTAAAAAAAAAAAGTGACCAGTTTTGTATGCTCATTTTTGATAGTACGGACTTTTAGAGAAAATACAGTAGGCACAAAAAAAATTCAGTAGACTTTCAAGAATTATAATTATGCTATTTGATAAATACACACTGCAATATAAGTGACACTTGTAAAATATTTTATCATAAAACTCTGAGAGTAGCAATGTGAAGTCCAAACCTGTGGTACTCATATAAAACTCTGAAGTGTTGTCTCCATGTGGCCTTGTTGCACTCAACACTCAATATTACTTTTTTTTTTTTTTTTTTTTTTTTTCAACAAGTCGGCCGTCTCCCACAGAGGCAGGGTGACCCAGAAAAAAAGAAAATCCCCAAAAAGAAAATACTTTCATCATCATTCAACACTTTCACCTCACTCACACATAATCACTGTTTTTGTAGAGGTGCTCAGAACACAACAGTTTAGAAGCATATACGTATAAAGATACACAACATATCCCTCCAAACTGCCAATATCTCAAACCCCTCCTTGAAAGTGCAGGCATTGTACTTTCCATTTCCAGGACTCAAGTCCAGCTATATAAAAATAACCGGTTTCCCTGAATCCCTTCACTAAATATTACCCTGCTCACACTCCAACAGATCGTCAGGTCCCAAATACCATTCGTCTCCATTCACTCCTATCGAACACACTCATGCACGCCTGCTGGAAGTCCAAGCCCCTTGCCCACAAAACCTCCCTTACCCCTTCCTTCCAACCTTTTCGAGGACAACCCCTACCCCGCCTTCCTTCTCCTACAGATTTAAATGTTCTCCATGTCATTCTACTTTGATCCATTCTCTCTAAATGACCAAACCACCTCAACAACCCCTCTTCAGCCCTCTTACTAATACTTTTATTAACTCCACACCTTCTCCTAATTTCCACACTCCGAATTTTCTGCATAATATTTACACCACACATTGGCCTTAGACAGGACATCTCCACTGCCTCCAACCGTCTCCTCGCTGCAGCATTTACCACCCAAGCTTCACGCTTGGTACTATTTTACTTTCATACATTCCCTTCTTTGCCTCCATAGATAACGTTTTTTAACTCCGCATATACCTCAACGCACCACTCACCTTTTTTCCTTTATCAATTCTATGATTAACCTCATCCTTCATAAATCCATCTGCCGACACATCAACTCCCAAGTATCTGAAAACATTCACTTCTTCCATACTCCTCCCCAATTTGATATCCAATTTTTCTTTATCTAAATCATTTGATACCCTCATCACCTTACTCTTTTCTATGTTCACTTTCAACTTTCTACCTTTACACACATTCTCAAACTCATCCACTAACCTTTGCAATTTTTCTTTAGAATCTCCCATAAGCACATTATCATCAGCAAAATGTAGCTGTGTCAATTCCTATTTTGTATTTGATTTTCCATAATTTAATCCCACCCCTCTCCCAAACACCCTAGCATTTACTTCTTTTATGACTCCATCTATAAATATATTAAACAACCATGGTGACATTACACATCCCTGTCTAAGACCTACTTTTACCGGGAAGTAGTCTCCCTCTCTTCTACACACCCTAACCTGAGCCTCACTATCCTCATAAAAACTCTTTACAGCATTTAGTAACTTACCACCTATTCCATATACTTGCAACATCTGCCACATTGCTCCTCTATCCACTCTATCATATGCCTTTTCTAAATCCATAAATGCAATAAAAACTTCCCTACCTTTATCTAAATACTGTTCACATATATGGAAGTTAGGAGGAGGTGCGGGATTACCAAAACTGTTGTCCAGAGGGCTGAGGAAGGGTTGTTGAGGTGGTTCGGACATGTGGAGAGAATGGAGCGAAACAGAATAACTTCAAGAGTGTATCAGTCTGTAGTGGAAGGAAGGCGGGGTAGGGGTCGGCCTAGGAAAGGTTGGAGGGAGGGGGTAAAGGAGGTTTTGTGTGCGAGGGGCTTGGACTTCCAGCAGGCATGCATGAGCGTGTTTGATAGGAGTGAATGGAGACAAATGGTTTTTAATACTTGACGTGCTGTTGGAGTGTGAGCAAAGTAACATTTATGAAGGGGTTCAGGGAAACCAGCAGGCCGGACTTGAGTCCTGGAGATGGGAAGTACAGTGCCTGCACTCTGAAGGAGGGGTGTTAATGTTGCAGTTTAAAAACTGTAGTGTAAAGCACCCTTCTGGCAAGACAGTGATGGAGTGAATGATGGTGAAAGTTTTTCTTTTTCAGGCCACCCTGCCTTGGTGGGAATCGGCCAGTGTGATAATAATAAAATAAAAAATATATGCTTCAATGTAAATACTTGATCTACACATCCCCTACCCACTCTGAAACATTATTATGTTTGGTAATTGCAGATTTTTTTCTTTTAACACATTGGCTGTCTCCCACTGAGGCCAGGTGACCCAAAAAAGAAGAAAGTAAAGTTTTTTCTCTTTACATTCATTGATTTATATAGAAGAAGGTGTTACTAGCACTTTGCTGCCAACATTTAGTAATTTATACCTTACAAAGTGTTACTAGCACCTTGCTGCTCGCACTTTAGTCATTTCTTATGATACATAGCTTACGGAGGATTTTTATTAATTTATTATTTATTGATTTCAGGCAACTATCGCCATGCTCATGACATGCTGCTGGGCATGTATGGAGAACTGCAGCGCCAGAAGCTAAGAATACCAGCAGACATGATTTCTGCACTCATGCTTCTTCATTCTTACACTTTAGCCAGGATGCATGTGAAGCGTGGTGACCACCTCAAAGCTGCCAGGATGCTCATCAGAGTGGCTAATAATATATCGAAGTTCCCAGCACGTGAGTTGAATATATCAAATAAGGAAATAAAAACACTTTCCTGGTGTTTCAGCTTATAAATAAGACATATTCCTGGTGTTTCAGCTTATAAATAAGACACATTCCTGATGTTCCAGCTTATAAATAAGACACATTCCTGGTGTTTCAGCTTATAAAAAAAGACACATTCCTGATGTTTCAGCTTATAAATAAGACACATTCCTGGTGTTCCAGCTTATAAATAAGACACATTCCTGGTGTTTCAGCTTATAAATAAGACACATTCCTGGTGTTCCAGCTTATAAATAAGACACATTCCTGATGTTTCAGCTTATAAATAAGACATTCCTGGTGTTCCAGCTTATAAATAAGACACATTCCTGGTGTTTTAGGTTATAAAAAAAGACACATTCCTGGTGTTCCAGCTTATAAGTAAGACATTCCTGGTGTTCTAGCTTATAAATAAGACACAAATCCTATGAATGAATCACAAAAAAAATTTGTATAAATGGTAAAACTTGAAAATATATCAGTAAGAGAATGGGATGTCACTTGGCCATTTTATGTTGTGTATATTTTTTTCCATCTCATTGGCCATCTCCCATCAAGGCAAGGTGACCCAAAGAAGAAAATGCATTCATCATTCATTTAATTGTCATCATTCTAAAAGTGTGCTGCATTCCCACCCATCCTCCAGAGTGCAGGCACTGTACTTCCACCTTCAGGACTAGAGTCAAGCTAACCAGTTTTTCCCTGGATCTTTTCATACAAGTTACCCTGCTCACACTCCAACAGCACCTCCGTTAAAAACCATTTATCTTCATTCACTCCTAACACACTCACACATGCCTACTGGATGCTCAAGCCCTTGGAACTCAAAATCCTCTTTACTTCCTCCCTGCAACCATTCCAGGGATGACCTCTAACCCTGGTATTAAGAATATTAAATCAGACAATACTTGTCATATTTTTCAGACATGGTTCCTATCTTAACCTCCACTGTGATTGAATGTCAACGTTCAGGGCTGAAAATTTCCTCGTTCAACTTTGCTGCTATGCTGATGCGCTCAGAAACACGTAACCAGATTGATGAAAAATACAAGAAAAAAATTGAAGCTATTGTCCGCAAGCCGCAGAAGACAGAAGACGATGAGCCTACGTCACCCTGTCCATTTTGTTTAGCACCAGTTGAGGAGACCACTTTGGAGTGTAGCCAGTGCCAGAACTCTTTGCCATATTGTATTGCTACGGTAAGTTTAGCACCAGTTAGAGACCACCTTGGAGTGTGGCCGGTGCCAGAACTCTCTGCCATGGTCTGTTGCTACGGTAAGTTTAGCACCAGTTGAGGAGACCCCCTTGGAGTGTGGCTGGTGCCAGAACTTTCTGCCATATTGTATTGCTTCGGTAAGTAACCTTATAATTCAACAATGAGGACTTGATTCTGTTTGTGTTTAACCCCTTCAGTGTCGGTTCCATAAAATTATGGCATTGAAGCTAGTGTCAGTCCCGTAATACTATGCCAAAATTCTAGCAGCTTTAGATCTTGCAGGAGAAAGCTGGTAGGCTTACATATGAGAGAATGGATCTTTGTGGTCAGTGTGTGCAGTATAAAAAAAATCCTACAGCAAGCAGTGCATAATGAGAAAAAACTGCGACTTTGTTTCTGGTTTAAAACAGCAACTCTGTGGTGTATTTTCATATGGTATTTATCATTGTCTTCTCGTTTTTTTTGTTTCATTTGATAGAATGGAAGATGTATTACAGAAATAGATATAATTTTGATTGGTTTCACGAAGGAAAGTACTGTACATATACAGTGGAACCTCAAAAATCGAACGTATCACATATCGAACGTTTCGAAAATAGGACCATTTTTTCGGACAAACTGTGTCCCTATTATCGAACACGCCCCTATTTTTGGACCGCTGGGTATGGGACCTGTCTGCCGCCCGCTCTGTCTTCGTCCCTGCGCAGGCGCCGTGAGCAGTCTAGCTTTGTTTATGCTTGAGTGAACACTAACCTGCGCTCTCATTCACGCATTTTACGGTTATTTCGTTGTATTTAGTGCTTGTGGGTCTGTGAAATAAGCTGCCATGGGCCCAAAGAAACTTGCTAGTGGTACCCTGTGTAAAGAAAGTGAGAAAACCATAGATGTGAAGAAGGAAATAATACAGAAGTATGAGAGTGGTGTGAGACTTGTTGAGCTTGCCAGGATGCATGGGAAAAACAAGTCGACCATCGATTCTATCCTGGCAAAGAAAGAACAAATCAAGGAAGCTGATGTTGCGAAAGGTGTTAATATAGGGAGTGGATGAGGTGCCTTCTTCAAAGATTAAGGAGATTTGTGCCAAGTGGAATGATGTCCAAATGTTTGTGCAGAAGTACCACCCTGAGCAAGCTGAAACAAGCCATCTTTGCAACAAGTTCAGTGACAGAACCATGTCCCATTTTAGGGAAATGTTAAAGAGGCACCAGAAACAGAGGACTGTGGACAGTTATTTTGTGAGACAGGGGTCCAGTGACTCTCAAGCTGGTCCTAGCGGCATTAAAAGACAGAGAAGGGAAGTAACCCCAGAGAGGGCTTTACATGAAGTCCTCATGGAGGGGGATTCTCCTTCCAAACACTAACCCCAACTCCCTCTCTCCTCCTCCCTATCTTCCAGATGCCATCACCAATCTTCAATAAAGGTAAGTAAAAATGTTATTTTATATGTATTACTATACATAATTAAAAACTATAGTATTTGTTGTATGTAAAACTAATTAATCTCTATAAAATGTATTTTTTGTGTGAATATTTTTGGGTTTCTGGAATGGATTAATTGTATTTCCATTATTTCTTATGGGAAATATTGCTTCGAATTTCAAACTTTTCGAATTTAGAACTAGCTCCTGGAATGGATTAAGTTCGATTTTTGAGGTTCCACTGTACTGTACCTTGAAATGTTCGATTTTTGATGATGTTCAAGAGTAGACAAATCACGTCACTTGTCCAATACACGTCAACTGGTCGATCCAACTATTTCTCCAAGGTTGATGCACTAATTACATTATATTTACCTTGTCACTGCTACTGCCTACAATCCATTCTCAGTATTTGATTGAAGAGGCCTACTGCATAGGCCAAACATTTCAACAGTGAAGATACCCAACTGTTGCACATGTATCTTACTCATAAATAATATTGTGTGTCTTACTCATCTACATTCTTCTTATTCTTCCAACAAACTGGCAGTATCCCACCAAGGCAGGGTGGTCCAACAAGAAAAACAAAAGTTTCTCTTTTTCTTTCTTTCTTTCAACACACCGGCCGTATCCCACCGAGGCGGGGTGGCCCAAAAGGAAAAACGAAAGTTTCTCCTTTTACATTTAGTAATATATACAGGAGAAAGTGTTATTAGCCTCTTGCTCCCGGCATTTTAGTCACCTCTTACAACACGCATGGCTTACAGAGGAAGAATTCTGTTCCACTTCCCCATGAAGATAAAAGGAAATAAACAAGAACAAGAACTATTACCTGGAGTATACTTGAAGAGGGTTTTGGGGGTCAATGCCCATGCGGCCCAGTTTGTGACCAGGCCTCATGGTGGATCAGGGCCTGATCAATCAGGTTGTTACTGTTGGCCGCATGCAGCCTGATGTATGAACTGCAGTCTGGCTGGTCAGGTACTGACTTTAGGTGCCTGTTCAGTGCCTTTTTGAAGACAGCAGGGGTCTGTTGGTAATCCTTCTTATGTATGCTGGGAGGCAGTTGAATAGTCTTGGGCCCCTGACACTTATTGTGTTGTCTCTTATCATGCTAGTGGCACCCTTGCTCTTCAATGGAGGGATGTTGCATCATCTGCTGAATCTCTTGCTTTCATAGGGAGGGATTTTCGCATGCAAGTTTGGTACTAATCCCTCTAGGATTTTACAAGTGTATATAATCATGTATCTCTCCTGCCTGCATTCTAGGGAGTACAGGTTGAGGAACTTCAAGTGTTCCCAGTAATTGAGGTGTTGTATTGCAGTTATGTGTGCCATTGTGAAGGCTTACTCAGCCCTGTAACAACTTCAGACAGTATTACCAAGGCTGGCTCCTCCTCAGGAAAATTAATGAATAGAAAAAGAAATAATAATTCACAAAGATAAACACTTTATTATTTATTAAAGCAAACATAAAACAAGGAAACATGAAAGGTATATCCTATTTGAAAGAAAAATGAAAATTGAAATGAAAAAAATAACATTTGAACTCAACGCTAATATATATAGTGATACTGGGGTGTCTGGTGTTGGTGACACTGCGTGTTGTTGAAATCGTAGCCGTTGCTGATGATGTGGGGGGGGTCGCAGGTGTTGGTGACAACCCACCGGCTCGTTCTTCACAGTATAGCCGTGAATAATTTGTCCAGATGACAGGAAAGCAGGTTCGTTACCACTGCTATGATGAGGGGTTATGTCCTGCGTCTATACATAACAGGTAGATAGATCCAACATGGGACGTCTCAGGACTTTAGTCCGTCTCCATCAATTCTTCTCATTGATTGGCAGGTGACTCAATCTGTCATTCCAAGAGTAGTGCTGAGAGCTGTGAGTCGAGTGATTACTGTTTGACCGGAGCCCCACACGTCACCTTTTGGGGGGGAAGGAAGGGGGGGATAGCGAGAGCTAGACTTACCCTACCTTAACAAGCAGCCGGCAATCAAACTATCACTTTCAGGGTGGGGGAAAAAGGGGGGATAGCGGGAGCTAGACTTCCCCTACCTTAACAAGTAGCCGGCAATCAAACTATTGTTACCATATATGTACTTGCTCGATACTCCTATCTGTTGAACTTTTCCCTCGCAGCCGTGAAGGTATTAAGAAAATAGAAGAAAGCCCAGATGGGTGTGCAAATATATAAATGCTTGTACATGCATGTGTAGTGTGACCTAAGTGTAAGTAGAAGTAGCAAGATATACCTGTTATCTTGCATGTTTATGAGACAGAAAAAGACACTAGCAATCCTACCATCATGTAAAACAATTACAGGCTTCCATTTCACACTCACTTGCCAGAACGATAGTACCTCCCTGGGTGGTTGATGTCTGCCAACCTACTACCACAGGACAGTACCTCCCTGGGTGTTTGCTGTTTACTAACCTACTACCACAGGATGATAGTACCTCCCTGGGTGGTTGCTGTCTACCAACCTACCATCACAGGATGGTAGTACCTCCCTGGGTGGTTGTTGTCTACCAACCTACCATCACAGGATGGTAGTACCTCCCTGGGTGGTTGTTGTCTACCAACCTACCATCACAGGATGGTAGTACCTCCCTGGGTGGTTGCTGTCTACTAACCTACTACCACAGGACAGTAGTAGCTCCCTGGGTGGTTGCTGTCTACTAACCTACTACCACAGGACAGTTGTACCTCCCTGGGTGGTTGCTGTCTACTTACCTACTACCACAGGACAGTTGTACCTCCCTTGCTGGTTCCTACTACCTAGGTCTGTACATATTTCCTGTGTATTTCTTACTAGTTCATATTCCTGTTATATTTCATTTGCATTATATGCTGCCAAAGGAGGAAATGATCCCAGAACTGCTAAGGTACAACAACCACTTCTTCTTCAACAGGGTCGGCATATTTTACCTGATGATGTTACTGTGTGTCCTTCATGCAAGTTCCCAGCCATCAGAAATGAATTAATAAAGTAAGTGCTTCTACCGTATTGTATATCATGCTTTGAACCATTTCTTCTATTTGAATTGCAATGCTTGTGTATGTCAGACAAGATAGCTGTTGAATGAATGATTGTCGAGGTAAGATTTGGTTTGGATTTTTAACCCCAGAGGGTTATCCATCCAGGATAACCCAAGAAAGTCAGTGCATCATCGAGGGACTGTCTGTCTTCTTTCCATTGTGGTCCTCAATCTTGTCCCCCAGGATTCCACCCACACCAGTCTACTAACACCCTGGTACCTACTAGCTTGCTAGGTGAACAAGACAACAGGTGTAAGGAGGCCAGAGTGTTGCTTACTAGGCTGTTTGAATTGCAATGCATTAACAGGCCTACCAGACCTGTTAATGCTTTTTCTTTGGGCCACCTTAGTATAGGTGGATGACTTGCTTAAAAAACGAGCATTTCTAAAATTTCATTATAGTTAAATGTTGTATTAGAGTAAGTGACGTAAGTATTGCTGTAAGAATTGGTATTAACATGTTGACCAGTACCCATGTAGCATGGTGTGTACTGGTGTACAAGCTGACCACCATGTAGCATGGTGTGTACTGGTGTACAAGCTGACCACTATGTAGCATGGTGTGTACTGGTGTACAAGCTGACCACCATGTAGCATGGTGTGTTCTGGTGTACAAGCTGACCACCATGTAGCATGGTGTGTACTGGTGTACAAGCTGACCACCATGTAGCATGGTGTGTACTGGTGTACAAGCTGACCACCATGTAGGATGGTGTGTACTGGTGTACAAGCTGACCACCATGTAGCATGGTGTGTACTGGTGTACAAGCTGACCACCATGTAGCATGGTGTGTACTGGTGTACAAGCTGACCACCATGTAGGATGGTGTGTACTGGTGTACAAGCTGACCACCATGTAGCATGGTGTGTACTGGTGTACAAGCTGACCACCATGTAGCATGGTGTGTACTGGTGTACAAGCTGACCACCATGTAGCATGGTGTGTACTGGTGTACAAGCTGACCACTATGTAGCATGGTGTGTACTGGTGTACAAGCTGACCACTATGTAGCATGGTGTGTACTGGTGTACAAGCTGACCACCATGTAGCATGGTGTGTTCTGGTGTACAAGCTGACCACCATGTAGCATGGTGTGTACTGGTGTACAAGCTGACCACCATGTAGCATGGTGTGTACTGGTGTACAAGCTGACCACTATGTAGCATGGTGTGTACTGGTGTACAAGCTGACCACTATGTAGCATGGTGTGTACTGGTGTACAAGCTGACCACCATGTAGCATGGTGTGTACTGGTGTACAAGCTGACCACCATGTAGGATGGTGTGTACTGGTGTACAAGCTGACCACCATGTAGCATGGTGTGTACTGGTGTACAAGCTGACCACCATGTAGCATGGTGTGTACTGGTGTACAAGCTGACCACCATGTAGCATGGTGTGTACTGGTGTACAAGCTGACCACTATGTAGCATGGTGTGTACTGGTGTACAAGCTGACCACCATGTAGCATGGTGTGTACTGGTGTACAAGCTGACCACTATGTAGCATGGTGTGTACTGGTGTACAAGCTGACCACCATGTAGCATGGTGTGTTCTGGTGTACAAGCTGACCACCATGTAGCATGGTGTGTACTGGTGTACAAGCTGACCACTATGTAGCATGGTGTGTACTGGTGTACAAGCTGACCACCATGTAGCATGGTGTGTTCTGGTGTACAAGCTGACCACTATGTAGCATGGTGTGTTCTGGTGTACAAGCTGACCACTATGTAGCATGGTGTGTACTGGTGTACAAGCTGACCACCATGTAGCATGGTGTGTACTGGTGTACAAGCTGACCACTATGTAGCATGGTGTGTACTGGTGTACAAGCTGACCACTATGTAGCATGGTGTGTACTGGTGTACAAGCTGACCACCATGTAGCATGGTGTGTACTGGTGTACAAGCTGACCACCATGTAGCATGGTGTGTACTGGTGTACAAGCTGACCACCATGTAGCATGGTGTGTACTGGTGTACAAGCTGACCACCATGTAGCATGGTGTGTACTGGTGTACAAGCTGACCACTATGTAGCATGGTGTGTACTGGTGTACAAGCTGACCACCATGTAGCATGGTGTGTACTGGTGTACAAGCTGACCACTATGTAGCATGGTGTGTACTGGTGTACAAGCTGACCACTATGTAGCATGGTGTGTACTGGTGTACAAGCTGACCACTATGTAGCATGGTGTGTACTGGTGTACAAGCTGACCACCATGTAGCATGGTGTGTACTGGTGTACAAGCTGACCACTATGTAGCATGGTGTGTACTGGTGTACAAGCTGACCACTATGTAGCATGGTGTGTACTGGTGTACAAGCTGACCACTATGTAGCATGGTGTGTACTGGTGTACAAGCTGACCACTATGTAGCATGGTGTGTACTGGTGTACAAGCTGACCACTATGTAGCATGGTGTGTACTGGTGTACAAGCTGACCACCATGTAGCATGGTGTGTTCTGGTGTACAAGCTGACCACCATGTAGCATGGTGTGTACTGGTGTACAAGCTGACCACTATGTAGCATGGTGTGTACTGGTGTACAAGCTGACCACTATGTAGCATGGTGTGTACTGGTGTACAAGCTGACCACTATGTAGCATGGTGTGTACTGGTGTACAAGCTGACCACTATGTAGCATGGTGTGTACTGGTGTACAAGCTGACCACCATGTAGCATGGTGTGTCTGGTGTACAAGCTGACCACTATGTAGCATGGTGTGTACTGGTGTACAAGCTGACCACCATGTAGCATGGTGTGTACTGGTGTACAAGCTGACCACTATGTAGCATGGTGTGTACTGGTGTACAAGCTGACCACTATGTAGCATGGTGTGTACTGGTGTACAAGCTGACCACTATGTAGCATGGTGTGTACTGGTGTACAAGCTGACCACATGTAGCATGGTGTGTACTGGTGTACAAGCTGACCACTATGTAGCATGGTGTGTACTGGTGTACAAGCTGACCACCATGTAGCATGGTGTGTTCTGGTGTACAAGCTGACCACTATGTAGCATGGTGTGTACTGGTGTACAAGCTGACCACCATGTAGCATGGTGTGTACTGGTGTACAAGCTGACCACTATGTAGCATGGTGTGTACTGGTGTACAAGCTGACCACATGTAGCATGGTGTGTACTGGTGTACAAGCTGACCACTATGTAGCATGGTGTGTACTGGTGTACAAGCTGACCACCATGTAGCATGGTGTGTACTGGTGTACAAGCTGACCACCATGTAGCATGGTGTGTTCTGGTGTACAAGCTGACCACCATGTAGCATGGTGTGTACTGGTGTACAAGCTGACCACCATGTAGCATGGTGTGTACTGGTGTACAAGCTGACCACCATGTAGCATGGTGTGTACTGGTGTACAAGCTGACCACCATGTAGCATGGTGTGTACTGGTGTACAAGCTGACCACTATGTAGCATGGTGTGTACTGGTGTACAAGCTGACCACCATGTAGCATGGTGTGTACTGGTGTACAAGCTGACCACCATGTAGCATGGTGTGTACTGGTGTACAAGCTGACCACTATGTAGCATGGTGTGTACTGGTGTACAAGCTGACCACTATGTAGCATGGTGTGTACTCTTGTACAAGCTGACCACCATGTAGCATGGTGTGTACTCTTGTACAAGCTGACCACCATGTAGCATGGTGTGTACTCTTGTACAAGCTGACCACCATGTAGCATGGTGTGTACTCTTGTACAAGCTGACCACCATGTAGCATGGTGTGTACTTGTACAAGCTGACCACCATGTAGCATGGTGTGTACTCTTGTACAAGCTGACCACCATGTAGCAAGGTGTGTACTCTTGTACAAGCTGACCACCATGTAGCATGGTGTGTACTCTTGTGCATGCTGACCACCATGTAGCATGGTGTGTACTCTTGTACAAACTGACCACCATGTAGCATGGTGTGTACTCTTGTACAAACTGACCACCATGTAGCATGGTGTGTACTCTTGTACAAACTGACCACCATGTAGCATGGTGTGTACTCTTACAAACTGACCACCATGTAGCATGGTGTGTACTCTTACAAACTGACCACCATGTAGCATGTTGTGTACTCTTGTACAAACTGACCACCATGTAGCATGGTGTGTACTTTTGTACAAGCTGACCACCATGTAGCATGGTGTGTACTCTTGTACAAGCTGACCACCATGTAGCATGGTGTGTACTCTGTACAAACTGACCACCATGTAGCATGGTGTGTACTCTTGTACAAGCTGACCACCATGTAGCATGGTGTGTACTCTTGTACAAACTGACCACCATGTAGCATGGTGTGTACTCTTGTACAAACTGACCACCATGTAGCATGGTGTGTACTCTTACAAACTGACCACCATGTAGCATGGTGTGTACTCTTGTACAAACTGACCACCATGTAGCATGGTGTGTACTCTTGTACAAACTGACCACCATGTAGCATGGTGTGTACTCTTGTACAAACTGACCACCATGTAGCATGATGTGTACTCTTACAAACTGACCACCATGTAGCATGGTGTGTACTTTTGTACAAACTGACCACCATGTAGCATGGTGTGTACTCTTGTACAAGCTGACCACCATGTAGCATGGTGTGTACTCTTGTGCATGCTGACCACCATGTAGCATGGTGTGTACTCTTGTACAAGCTGACCACCATGTAGCATGTTGTGTACTCATGTACATGCTGACCACCATGTAGCATGGTGTGTACTCTTGTACAAGCTGACCACCATGTAGCATGGTGTGTACTCTTGTACAACAATAGTCTTATTGCTAAACATAATGAGGGAAAATGTCTGGGTCTACACCTTGATAGCAACTTGACATTCAACACCTATATCCAGCATATTACAAAAAAATATCCAGAACAGTTGACATCTTCTCCAAGATATGTTATTATGCCACAAACAGCACTGCTTATATCATACTGTTCACTGATCTGCCCCTACCTCACCTATGCTATTTGTGCCTGGGGATCCACAACAGCAAATCACCTCAAGCCAATAATAACCTCAGCAGCAACCTGCAGTGCGAATGATCACACAATCCCCTGCTAGACAACAACACCTCCCCCACCCCACACCCACACACTCTTCAAAGATCTAAATCTACTTGTTACTGTGCATCCTATATATGCAAAACAATAAATTTTAATATTAATCCTGGCCTGAAGCACTTCCTTGATAGTTACAGTAGGACCCCTAGACATAATACCAGGCACAAAAATCTCTGACATGCTCTGTGTCCAGCGTAACCTTTGTAAAAACTCAGTGTGCAAAAAAGGACCCAAAATCTGGAACTTCCTGCCAGAAATCTCCAGAGCCACTGTCTCTTCTAGCATCTTCAAAACTACCTTCTTTCACTTACATATCCCAACAACAACTAAATATAATAAAACTGTATTTTTGTATTCTCATTGCCACAAACATAAGGAAAAACAATGTATTCTTATTTTCATTATCTGTTATCCTCACAACCATTAAATATATTTAATGGGTGTGAAGCTTGGGTTGTGAATGTTGCAGCGAGGAGGCGGTTGGAGGCAGTGGAGATGTCCGGTCTAAGGGCAATGTGTGGTGTAAATATTATGCAGAAAATTCGGAGTGTGGAAATTAGGAGAAGGTGTGGAGTTAATAAAAGTATTAGTCAGAGGGCTGAAGAGGGTTTGTTGAGGTGGTTTGGTCATTTAGAGAGAATGGATCAAAGTAGAATGACATGGAGAGCATTTAAATCTGTAGGGGAAGGAAGGTGGGGTAGGGGTCGTCCTCGAAAAGGTTGGAAGGAAGGGATAAGGGAGGTTTTGTGGGCGAGGGGCTTGGACTTCCAGCAGGTGTGCGTGAGCGTGTTAGATAGGAGTGAATGGAGACGAATGGTATTTGGGACCTGACAATCTGTTGGAGTGTGAGCAGGGTAATATTTAGTGAAGGGATTCAGGGAAACCAGTTATTTTTATATAGCCGGACTTGAGTCCTGGAAATGGGAAGTACAATGCCTGCACTCTAAAGGAGGGGTTTTGGGATATTAGCAGTTTGGAGGGATATGTTGTGTATCTTTATACGTATGTGCTTCTAAACTGTTGTGTTCTGAGGACCTCTGCAAAAACTGATTACGTGTGAGTGAGGTGAAAGAGTTGAATGATGATGAAAGTATTTTCTTTTTGGGGATTTTCTTTCTTTTTGAGTCACCCTGCCTCGGTGGGAGATGGCCAACTTGTTAAGAAAAAAAAAAGTACAAAATTCAGTGAACCCCCAGTTAACGATACTTTTTCATTCCAGAAGTATGTTCAGGTGCCATTACTGACCGAATTTGTTCCCATAAGGAATATTGTGAAGTAGATTAGTCCATTTCAGACCCCCAAACATACACGTACAAACGCACTTACATAAATACACTTACATAATTGGTCGCATTGGGAGGTGATTGTTAAGCGGGGGTCCACTGTATAGGTAGTAGGTTGGTAGACAGCAACCGCCCAGGGAGGTACTACCGTCCTGCCAAGTGAGTGTAAAACGAAAGCCTGTAATTGTTTTACATGATGGTAGGATTGCTGGTGTCTTTTGTCTGTCTCATAAATATGCAAGATTACAGGTAAGTCTTGCTACTTCTACTTACACTTAGGTCACACTAAACATACATGTACAAGCATATATATACACACCCCTCTGGGTTTTCTTCTATTTTCTTTCTAATTCTTGTTCTTGTTTATTTCCTCTTATCTCCATGGGGAAGTGGAACAGAATTCTTCCTCTGTAAGCCATGCGTGTCGTAAGAGGCGACTAAAATGCCGGGAGCAAGGGGCTGGTGACCCCTTCTCCTGTATATATTACTAAATTTAAAGGGAGAAACTTTAGTTTTTTCTTTTGGGCCACCCTGCCTCAGTGGGATACGGCTGGTACGTTGAAAGAAAGAAGAAGAATATAAAATAACATTTTTACTTACCTTTATTGAAGATTGGTGATGGCATCTGGAAGATAGGGAGGAGGAGAGAGGGAGTTGAGGTTATTGTTTGGAAGGAGAATCCCCCTCCATGAGGACTTCTGGTATCAAAGCCCTCTCTGGGGTTGCTTCCCTTCTCTGCATTTTAAGGCCACTAGGACCAGCTTGAGAGTCATTGGACCCCAGTCTCACAAAATAACTGTCTACAGTCCTCTGTTTCTGTCTCACAAAATAACTATCCACAGTCGTCTGTTTCTGTCTCACAAAATAACTGTCCACAATCATCTGTTTGTCTCGCAAAATAACTCCACAGTCGTCTGTTTCTGTCTCACAAAATAACTGTCCACAATCATCTGTTTGTCTCGCAAAATAACTCCACAGTCGTCTGTTTCTGTCTTACAAAATAACTGTCCACAATCATCTGTTTGTCTCGCAAAATAACTCCACAGTCGTCTGTTTCTGTCTCACAAAATAACTCTCCACAGTCGTCTGTTTGTGTCTCACAAAATAACTGTCCACAGTCGTCTGTTTGTGTCTCACAAAATAACTGTCCACAATCATCTGTTTGTCTCGCAAAATAACTCCACAGTCGTCTGTTTGTGTCTCACAAAATAACTCTCCACAGTCGTCTGTTTCTGTCTCACAAAATAACTGTCCACAGTCCTCTGTGCATCCTGGCAAGCTCAACAAGTCTCACTCCAATCTCATACTTCTGTATTATTTCCTTCTTCACATCTATGGTGTTTCTCACTTTCTTTACCACAGGGGTACCACTAGCAAGTTTCTTTGGGCCCATGGCAGCTTATTCCACAGCCCCACAAGCACTAAACAATTAAATAATCGTAAAATGTGTGAATGAGATAGCAGGTTAGTGTTCACTCAAGCATGAACAAAGCTAGATTACTCACGGTGCCTGCGCGGGGACGCGGACAGAACAGGCCAGCGGACAGGTCCCGTACCCGGCGGTCCGAAAATAGGGGCGCATTCAATAATAGGGACACAGTTTGTCCGAAAAAATGGTCTTATTTTCGAAACGTTCGATATGTGATACATTCGATTTTTGAGGTTCCACTGTACATTCGATTTTTGAGGTTCCACTGTACACACCCCTCTGGGTCTTCTATTTTCTTTCTAGTTCTCATTCTTGTTTATTTCCTCTTATCTCCATGGGGAAGTGGAACAGAATTCTTCCTCCGTAAGCCATGCGTGTTGTAAGAGGCGACTAAAATGCCGGGAGCAAGGGGCTAGTAACCTCTTCTCCTGTATATATTACTAAATATAAAAGGAGAAGCTTTCATTTTTCCTTTTGGGCCACCCCGCCTCGGTGGGATACGGCCAGTGTGTTGAAAGAAAGAAAGAAAGTGTACAAAATATGTAAAATGCTAGAATGCTCATTATCTGTAATCATAAGACTTCCTGTAATCCTTATAACAACCAAACTTGATAAAAATGTTCATTGTTATTCCTAAATTTATTGTTACAACCACTTAGAGATTGTATATATAAGCAATCAATTAATTATTGCCTTATTAGCCTTAAGTTTGTTGGAAATGCTCTGCATATTAAGGGGGTTTCTGCATGTACACCTAAATTGTCAACCATCTCTGTACAAGCATTGTATCATGCTGAAATAAAGAATCTTTAATCTTTAACATCAAGACACCCTCCCTCCCTTCCCTTCCCTTCCCTTCCCTTCCCTTCCCTCCCTCCCTCCCTCCCTCCCTCCCTCCCTCCCTCCCTCTTCCTCCCTCTTCCCTCTTCCCTCCCTCTTCCCTCCTCCCTCCCTCTTCCATCCCTCTTCCATCACGCCTTCGTCCATCCCTCTCTTACCTTCGTGTGTTAGTGTGACTTGTAAATGGTCCATGTTGAACCAAAACATCATCATAAGTTTTCCTGTGCGCTGGTTATTTGTGTATTGTTCCAGTCACGGTATTGGTAGGTGACGCTTTAATCATTATCATATACGTGTATAATATTTATTATAACGTAACTTTTTCTTGTTTTCAGGATTGTGGAAGATGGTGAGGACTGTCCTATGTGCAGCACACACCTGGAGGTTGACAAACTGTCAGTTATACCAAACTGGAAGTCCATCATCCTCAGTTCTGATGCTCAAGATTAAATTCGACATTGCTTGGGAGAAGAATTGCAGTATAACATAAAGCTACCCAGCTGTTGTCTGCTCTTTATGGTTTCTGGGTCATTGTTCCTGTAAGCTGGTCCCAGACCTGGTTATTCTGATCAACCAGGCCACCAACACATTGTGTATGGAGTACTGAAGGTTGTATCATCACCCCTGTTTACAACACATTGTGTATGGAGTTCTAGGGCTTGTATTATCATCCCTTTATACAACACATTGTGTATGGAGTTCTGGGGCTTGTATCATCATTCCAGTATACAACTTTTTTCCAAAAGTATAACCGGGAGCAGTTGTATATTCTATAGGGAAAAAATACAATTATTTTAAGTATAAATATTTTTTAAACTCAGTGGTCATCTTCCACCCAGGCAGCAGGGTGACCCATAGAAGAAAGCATATTCACCTTCATTCATTCATTGTTTTTTCAGATATGTGCTACATCATAATCAGATTACCCCTCACTGCAGCATCCTCACCCCTCTTTCAGAGTGCATCACTGCTCTTCTCACCTCCAGGACTCTAAGTCTGGCTAATTAGTTTCCTTAAATCCCCTCATACAAGTTACACTGCTCACACTCCAACAGTATGTTCATTACAAAACACATGTTTCCATTCACTCCCCTCTAATACACTCATAGAAGCCTACCGGATGCTCAGGCCACTAAACTGCAAGCCTCTTGTACCTCCTCCCTCTAACCATTCCTGGGATGACTCCTCTTTTTCTCTCAGCTTCCACTCTAAGAGTTATACATCCCCTTCATCAACCTATCACTGTCCACCCTCTCTGCATGTCCATACCACCTCCACAACCTATCCTCTGTCTTCTCAATTATATCCTGGTATAGTCCTAGTTTTTACCACCATAGATGAGCTTTTTTTTCCGCAGACACCTCAATAAACCAGGCGTCTTTTTCCCCTCATCTGTTTTATGGTTCAGCTAGTCTTTCATACATCTGTCTACTGACATGTCCACTTCCTAATATAATATTGAAATACATCCACTTATTCTGCACTTCCTTACTTCCCTTCCTCCCTCCATCTCTTCCCTTCCTTCCTTCCCTATAATATTCAGTTTATCATTACCTACAGTTTTTGTTACTATCATCACCTTGTTCTTCACTATGTTACATTTATTTATTTATTTTTCTTAAAGTGTATATTACATAGTAGCTGTTTTGTGAGCTGAGGAAAACTAGTGAAATATTAAGATTAATTTATTCTTGAGTCAATGTTTATACTGAACAATGTTTACACTGAACAGTTATTTAGTGTTGTAACTGAGTGATAGTGTTGCTGCTTGCATTGCAGTGTTGTCATCAAGTGTTACTGTAGAAGGACACATGTGCAGCTACTGTCGTGTTTTATTGTTGCAGTGTTTTGCAGGAGCTTTGTTCCTGCAGAGTGAAACATTGCTACAATAAAATATGACATTAGTTACACATGTGACCTTTTACCTAACACTGTGGGTAATAATACCTTTATTACTAAGTGTATTGCTGTAATATGTTGCACATTGATCCCTACTGGTTTAGCACTTACTATGAGCATACTGTCAGTATTTGTTTAGGCTTAGGGTACTAATAAATGCACTTAGAGTAAGTGGTAGTGTCACTTACATTAAAGTTGTATCATGCAGTATTGTATCAACATTCACTTAACTGTAATAGTTTTATCTACTAAGATCAACATAACTTGTGTCAAATATCTATTTTGTCACTAATACGTATTCATATTTTACTGATGCAACCTTGTATGTAACTTACATTAAATGTTTGGGTTTTTGGTGCTGAATGACCCAAAGAGGTTCAGCACTTTCTTAAACATGATGATAATAATAAGCCACATAATAAGAAGGGTTTAAACCCTGGCAGGTGAGTGTTGTTATCATTTTCATGAATAATAATAATAATAATAATAATAATAATAATGAGTGTTGTCAAGTCAGCATTCAGTCATTACTGACTATATTTACCTAACTAAACCATGGAATAGGTGGGGGTTAAACCCATGGCAAGTGACTGCTAAAAGTCCAGGCACTGAACTGGTCTTGTAGCATTCACTTGCCTTTGTTTACACTCATGTTGTTACTGTATCGTAGTTATATTTACATTCTTGCTATAAATATTTCTCTCTTACACACGAGCTTAACATTCTTAACAACGATATTATATTTTCCATAATGTATTTTAATACATGTTGTTGCAACACATGTATTAAAAAGTGTCTTAGTTTGCTAGTTGTGTGACACAGTTCTTTAGTTGTGTGACACAGTTCTTTAGTTGTGTGACACAGTTCTTTAGTTATGTGACACAGTTCTTTAGTTGTGTGACACAGTTCTTTAGTTGTGTGACACAGTTCTTTAGTTATGTGACACAGTTCTTTAGTTGTGTGACACAGTTCTTTAGTTGTGTGACACAGTTCTTTAGTTATGTGACACAGTTCTTTAGTTGTGTGACACAGTTCTTTAGTTGTGTGACACAGTTTTTTAGTTGTGTGACACAGTTCTCTAGTTGTGTAACACAGTTCTCTAGTTATGTGGCACAGTTCATTAGTTGTGTGAGACACAGTTCTCTAGTTGTGTGATGCACAGTTCTCTAGTCATGTGTAGCATAAGTTTTCTAGTCATATGTGCACAAGTTTTCTAGTGTGTGATAGTTTTCTAGTGTGACACAGTTTTCTAGCTGTGTGACACAGTTTTCTAGTCATATGCACACAAGTTTTCTAGTGTGTGACACAAAGAACTGGAGACGACCGTTCATGATTTTCAAAACATTTTCTTCATTACTTGCTAAACAGCGACTAATATGTTATGACAACTTAAAGTTTTGTCTTTAGCATAGAGGCATAGTCTTGACGCTTGTTTGTTTCCCCTGACATAACACCTGCCTCACTCAGCAAGAAGTTGATTTATTAATAAAAAGAGAGAGAATGTTTGACTACTGTTTTTAAGGGCAGTTGAGATTAATTGGTTGATTAATATGAACATGTATGTACTGTAAATATTGTATCATATCAATTAATTTGTTGATTACATATTTTGACGACTGTCTTATGCTGTAAGTTACAGCATTCTAAGTGTATTCAAATGGTTTTCAGATTGAATATGGTAAACTGAAAAAATTTCGAAAGAGAAATGCATTGACCACATGCAGTGTCTCAGGTCACTGATAATTAAATTCTGTTACATCATTTATTTCCAGTGTTGAATCATACAGGGAAAAATACACAGATAACCCACACATATGAAAATAAATATTATGACGATGTTTTGGTCCGACTTAGACTTTTAGATAGTCCAAGTGGGACTAGTAATGCTACTATCGAATATGGTTCCCTAGGTGGTCGATCTATTTCTATATTAATAAATAGATAATGACTTAAAAACAATTTCTGGGCTATCAGATTTGCTACGTTGTAATCTTTTTGCCTACCACACAGTACTGGACTCTGTATTGTACTGTATTATATTGTACTAAATTGTACTGTATTATACAGTGGACCCCCGGTTAACGATATTTTTTCACTCCAGAAGTATGTTCAGGTGCCAGTACTGACCGAATTTGTTCCCATAAGGAATATTGTGAAGTACATTAGTCCATTTCAGACCCGCAAACATACACGTACAAACGCACTTACATAAATACACTTACATAATTGGTCACATTCAGAGGTAATCATTATGCGGGGGTCCACTGTATTATATTGTACTAAATTGTACTGTATTAAATTGTACTGTATTGTACTGAAAATATATAAGAGTCAACAAGGGCTTAAGTAACAAGACATAGCAGGCATTTAGGAACGGCAGCTACCATCCGACTTACGACCGAGCTTGGTTCCTACTAACCAGTCGTAAGTCAAAATGAACATAAGTCGAACCTTACTACTGAATATCAGCATCACATTATGTAATGAATTTATTTTATTGATTTATTCTGGTATGTTATTTTTTACTTTACTTTTTATGCTGTTAGTACTGTATTTTATACTGTAAGGTTTAGGAGAAACACTGTGTACAGCACAAACAGTTGTTTATTTCCCAGAACATTTGCATACAAAACACGGTCGTAAGTCGAGTGGTAATATGTCAAGCAGGTCGTAAGTCGGATGGTAGGTGTACTTTTTACATATGCTCCTCAGTGTTATGAACATACAACACACTGAAGTTGTATTCCAATCTCATAATCTCTTGTGATCAAACCTATTTCCCAACACCCGTCCTACTGTTGCCTTCATACAACGTGTTCTATTTATTGTGTATGCACACGTGATAAAATACATACACAACTATTTTGTGTACTGATTTCCTGCATTTCCTAGATAGCAATTAAAAATTAATATGGTATCAAAAATGTTTTGTTGTGGAATTAAAATGATTCATTTCCTTCATAGCTGCTACAAGGTGAAGAGAATTACACTGATGGGATGTTTCAACGCACCGGCCATCACCTACTGAAGTAGGCTCATTGGAAAAAGGAAAATTTTTCACCTTTAATCATTTCTTTGTCTTGCCAGAAGGCACAAAAAATTAGGGGGAATTTATTAAAGTGGATAATGTTTTTTAATTTTTAAATAATCAAAAAGAAGCGTTTAAGGGCCAAAAAGGGCAAATATACAGCGCTGGGGGGCGGGAAGGAAGCGGGGCATCAGGGGCAAAAGGGAGATGGTTTGGGAAAAAGGGTTAGGAAACAGGGAAAAGCAGGGGGATGGTTTAAAGGGTAAAGGGCAGCAAGAGACTGAGCTAGAAGGGCTGGGGGGAGTGCGAAAGGGGACCCATAAATCAGGTTTGGGGAGTAAACATCTTTGTCAAGAAGTCAATAAAGAGAGTCAGGATTAAAGGAGGGCCCCATCAGCAAAAAGGGAAGGGGAAAAGAGAGAGTATTAGAACAAAGAGGGCGTTTGGGGGTTTTAAATTTCTCCGTGCTCGTTGTTTAGAGGGGGGCAGTCTAACAAAATTTGTGGCTAATCGATACGGAAAACTTGACATTTCTCACAGGGGAGGAACGGGGTTCCCTCTCCAGAAAAACCCGTGAAAGACATGGGGCCCCAATGCGAAGACGGGAGGAGGGGTTTCTCCCAACCACGGCACTGTTTACAAAAAGAGGGCCAAAGAAACCCAAAGTGGGTTTTAAATAAAATAAAGTTTGTTCCCAAAGCGAATTTGCCCAAAACGTTGTTCCCAAAACGGGCGGGAAAGGGGGGGTTAGTTTTGTGGGCAAAAATAGCCCCAAAAAATGGAACACCTCTATGGGGAAAGGGGGTTTTAGGAATTATTTTACTGTGCCCGCGAAAGCAGTGTCTGCCTTTTTTCATTGCCCTGTACATCGACATGACCAGGGACCCAAAAAAAAATAATATCTTTATGTTTACGTAAAAGGAAAAACGGCGTAGCCAAATTTGGGGGATACGGGGGAAACTGGGGGGTGAGATGTATAAAATTTTTCGTATAGCCTGTAGAGCACTAAGGGAGTCTGAGACTACCACAAATATGACACAGGCTTAATCGATACAAATTTAAGTGCTGCAAGAATGGCATACAGTTCGCATTTAAAAATGCTAGCCAAAGATAGAAAATCCCCCCGCACAACCCCTGTTGGGGAAAACTGCTGCAAATCCGACACCGTCTGAAAGATTTTAAAAGCCCCCCTGTGTACACAGCGGGGGGCATGAAAAGGGGAGTGGAAGTGATCAAAAAAAAAGAAGCGGGAACCCAACCGAAGGCATTTTGAGTTTCGGCGGGGGAGTGAGAAAGAACAGACCCGAACAGCGGGAAAATTTCCCAGTGGGGTGGGGAAAAAAGTGGATGCTACAAAAACATAAAAAGGGGGAAAATAAAGGGGAAAGACAAGAGTGAATTTAGGGAAAAAAGAAAAGGGACGGAGCAAAAAAGGGCGGTGAACCCAAAAAAAGAAGCTACTAATTTTCGGGGGACCATTTTTATAAATGGAAGGATTGTGGGGATCATGAGAGCGTACATAGTAGCGAAGGCAAAGGGGAACCCGGCGATCAGACCAAATGGAAAATTTGCTTTTGCCCTAGAGGCTCTCAAAGTGGGAAAAGCGAAAAACACCCAAAGGGACAAAAAGTTTAAACCTTGGGGATGGATTTGAGTTAAGGGAAAAGAGAGACAAGGGGGGCCACGGGAAAAAAATCTGTTTACCCCTAATCGAATTTTTTGATTTTTAAAAAGAGGGCTGAATGGGAAGGGGGGAAGCAGAGTTCGACGATCACTCCCCAGGAAAGATGAACCCAAATTTTTTAAAAAGGTTTAAACCGGCTGTGACAATTTTCCTTCGAGAGGTAATGTGAGGTTTTCCCGGATAACCTACGGTCAAAGAGAAGGCCTAGAAAAACCCGAAATGTATTACTTTTGGGGATATGGGGGGGCCATTTGAGATACAAAGGTGGGTCGGGGATGACGGGGCGCTATGAAAGAAAATTTTGGGGAGTTTTGGTTTCTTGAAAAAATTTAAACCCATTTCATGGTGGCCCCAAAATGGAAACATCGACCGCATGCTGGAGGGAAAGGGGGAAAAATGCAATGAGAAAAGAAAGTCAGTGCCTGCACAAAACAATAGCAAGTCCCCAACATCGATTTATGACCCAAAAATTGGGGGAAAAAAACAGAGGCCAAAACATTTAACAAGGAGGGAAAAAAAGTTGGGGCTTTGAACAAATCCCCCGAGGGGCACCTTTTACTTGGCCCAAGTCCGGGGGAAAAAACATTAATTTACTCGAAAAACGGAAAAGTCTGTCAGTTAAAAAATTTTTTAAGGAAGGATGGGGGATTGCCTCGGAGGGCCCAAGGGAAAGGGGGCCCGGGCCAAAATATTATTTCCTCCAAAATTTTCATATGCCCTTTCAAAGGGGCCAAAAAAAAATGGCAAAACGGGGTGGGTTATTTGCAAAGGCATTACGAACATACGTTTTCCAAGGGGTTTTGTAAGGGGTCTATGGTTAAAAACGACCCTTCGGGGGAAACCATTTGACTAGCGGAGAGAATGGGTTTGGGTCTTTTAAAAACCACATTAAACGTCGATTTACGGGGGCGTTCCATCACTTTGCAAAAATTTCACTAGTAAGAGCGATGGGACCCATAGTGGGAGGGGATCATTTCCTGTGTACCCAGTTTGCGGAAAGGGAGAACAAAGGCAGATTTTTCCCCAGGGGTTGGGGGAAAAACTCCTTGTGCCCAAAAAAGGGTTGAAAGGTTAAGAGGACTACAAGGGTTTAACCCATGTAAATATTGTAACATACCCAAAATGAATGTCGTCAGGGCCCCGCTGCCGAAAGAACGGCAAGCTGAGAGCGTTTCCCCCCTAGTTTTTTGAAGTTAAAAGGCACTTATACTGTTCTTCTCTGAGAGAAGAAAATCCCAAGGGGACTAACCTCCCGGCAGACTTTGGGAAGAAACGAGGGGCATAGATGGGGGCCCTTGGGAAAAAGGACCCGATTTTGTGCCAAGTTCAATGGCAACGTCGAGGGTTTGCTACATCAACACCAGCGCCCTTTAGAACAGGAGCCGGATCAGGAGAGTATTTACCACTCAATTTCCCACTTTTTTCCAGCAGCACTCATAGAAGAAGCAGAGGTGATGTGGAAACATAGTCTCGCCAACAAGTGCGTTTAGCTTCACGGATGACACGGCGAGCGATCGCACACTTTTGCTTAAAATCAAGAAGTCTCTCAGCAGTTCTATTGTACCAGTACCTGCCCCATGCAGCGTGTTTCAAACGTACTGCACGAGCACAAGCAGGAGCCCAAACCAAGGCACGCACTTCTGAGAATGCCTGCCTGAGGTTTGGGGTATAGAATGAGAAAGCTGCAGTATAAACTGACGTCGAAAAGAGGTGTAGGAGCTCATCAATGGAGGATGAAGAAGGAACCTCACTAAAAGCAGTGAGGTGTGAGTAAAGATCCCAATTTGCCCGATCAAATTGCCAGCGAGGGCTACGGAAGGTGGTGAATGGGAAAGGAAAAAGTAAGAATGATTGAAAATGATCGCTGTCATGTAAGTCCGGTAGAACAGACCAGGTGAAGTCTAGTGCAGTGGAGGAAGAGCAAGACTGATAGATCGATGCAAGAGGAGAGTATGAGTACGAGGATCAAATGGGTGGGAGTACCCGTTTTTAAAACATGGAGGGGGGAGAGCGGGGAAAAGCCTCCAACTGGATGCCACTTTGAGTCACAATGAGCCCCCCCCAGAGGAAATGGTGGGCATTAAAATCACCAAGTAATAGAAGTGGTGGTGGTAAGGATGAAACAAGAAAGGCAAAGTCTGGGATAGAAAATGCTCGGAAAGTAGAGAGATAAAATAGAACATATTGTAACCACTTATTCAAGTGGATACGGGCTGCAGTGTAATGCAGCGAGGTATGGACAAATAGTTGACAGTACGGAATATCATTGCGTAGAAGAAGGGCACTTTCATTAAAGGTCCCATCTGAGAAAGGATCCGAAGAATACAATAAATTATAGCCTGAGATAGGTTGGAAAAACAGCCGAGTGTAATTTTGGTTCTTGTAAGCAAGCCCCAAACCCAGGGGAAAACCTGTAAAGCAACATCTGAAGCTCACCCCGATTACCCCTGAGGCCGCGGATATTCCACTGTAAATAGGCCTTTGATTGGCGATGAGAAAATACCAGGAATCTGTAGGTAAAGGCACCTACGGACTAGAGGGGTTAAAAAATTTCAACGTGTGGTGGCATTGGAAGCGTTCAAGCAGCAAAGGGAAAACGGAGCGTTGCGAAGAATGGGGTTGTGAAGATGGAGGAGAGGGAAGAGAAGGAGCAGGAAGTGAATCGTGTCCATTGAAGGTTTAGTCTCTGCAATATATTCTGAAATGGCTTCAAATGTTTTGAATTCAAAGATGTATGGGGGGACATATTGGAGATAGAAGGAGGGGGGCGAGTAAAGATTGGGACAGTAATGGACTGTACCAAAGTAGAGGGGGTTGAAGAGTGTAAGGGACTGGAGATGAAGTTGGGGGGGGACAGAAGGGGCAGAAACCTGGGAGGTGGCAGAAGAGGGAGAAACTTGGGAGGGGAGGGGGGTGGAAGGCATAGTACGAGGAGGAGGGTGAATCTCCACACTTGTAATAGAGCTAGAGAGAGGGAAGAACTAGGTACAGAGACTGGAAAGGTAAAGTGTGGAGGGGGAAAAAGGGGAAGGAAGGGGCAAAGAAGATTTGAGGCAATGTGGTTTTTTTGGACTTCTGAGAAGTAGAGGGGCGATTGGTATTAGGTGTCGTACGAGGTCTTGTCGATACGGGGGCTTGTGAGGAAGGACGCGAAGATGTGGAGAACAGACTGAGTTGTATTGGGACGTCAGAGCCA